TCGGAAATGAATAAGAAGTTGATTAATTACTTTGTCAGTAATTTAATTAATCAACGGACGTTATATCTTAAACATAGAAAGGTAAATCGATCAATCAGATTAATATTATTTGATCATGGAGGCTCGATTTTATTGGTAAAATAGTGGCTAAATGGGGAGAGCAAAAATGTTACTCTAGTGGGATGTTTTATTATTTAATTCCAATAAATAGGAATCAATTTTATTCCATATTAATTAATTAATTAGGATAATAAAATTCCTACTAGAATCTTCTCTTGGATTAGGAGACTTGGAAGTCTTCTAGAAGATGAAGATTAGTGGAAAATATATTTCCTACATTATATTATTAATTGGAGTAAAATTAGGTATCCTAAATTAGGAATTAATTCTATTCCATGATTATTAATTTAATTAGGAAAGGAAATTCCTACAAGGATCCTCTCTAGTGTTAGGAGACTTAGGAGTCTTCTAGAAGAGAGGGATTAGTAGGAGATCTCCTTCCTAGATTGAGTTAGTATTAGATTAGAATTAGGAGTCCTAGGCCTAATGGAATAAGCCCATATTTAGCACCTCCTTAAGGTCCCTAATGGAGCCTATATATACACCATGTCCCAAACTCTCCTACAAGTTGATGTTGGCCAATTTTCTCATCTACATACACGTGAGAATTACTTTGTTCGAGAGTTAGGGAGATCCGATTAAACGCTCCACCAAGTTTAATCGGAATAGGTGTTTAGGTAATCCGTTAGAAGGCTTTTGGGTACAGTTATTGTAATATCCCGACTTTTTATCAGTATAATAATATCTTAGTTCCGATATTATTTTTTCGGAATTAATTAATTTCAGTTATTTCAGTCGAAATCACCGGAAACTATTTTCGACATACCGTTTACGTTCGAAATAATTTTGGTAATTAAGCATTATGTTTAATTGGTTAATTAAACATAGTTAAGTGATTAATTTAAATAAATCACGAGATTAGCTTAATTGTCCGGATTTTAATCCAAGCTTAAGCTAATGGTCGTGCACATTGTGAGCATAAGCCGTGCATGATCATGTTAGTATTATTGGTCCGTATCTCATGTGCATGCCGTGCATTTATGTGTAAGTGTTAGTATATTTTTGTTCAAGTTCATGTGTAAATGCCGTGCATTTTCGGTCCAATTCATGCGCCATTGCCGTGTGCCCTATGTTGGTGCATTGTGCAAGAGATTCTTCCCAACATTTATCATGAAGACCGTGCATCTCCTTTGGCTTTTTGTGGGTGTTTGTTCCAAGGATTCCATCCCCCTTGTCATGTAGTACATTTTGTCCCATTTGTCCTCAAAAATGCCGTGCATGTGTGTATGGGAAGTTGTTCTAGCATCTCCTCTTTTTGTTGGCTTATGGGCGTGAGTTCTAAGGCAAGTCATGCATGCCTCTTTGGCTGGTAGTGTGTGGTGTCTTGGCTTCTTCTAGCATGTGGGACAAGTGTCATGAGCCCTTGACCACTTAACCCCTCCCTCACCCATGCTTTCGGCCTTATGTTAAAAGAGGGAGTTTGGAGAAATTGTCCCATTTTCTTCACGCCTTAGCTCTATTGCCGAGAGTGAGAGAGAGTTGTGAGGACTTTTGAGTGTCTTTCGTGATCATATAGCCGAGAGCCATCACGCAACGCCGAGCCATCGCAAGCTACCGCACGCCGCACGCACGCGCGGAGGTCACGGCCGAGAGCTCGGAAATTCGAGGAGTTAGTCCCTAAGGCTTAACAAGAGGTAAGTCCCGTCGTCGTTGGCCGAGAGTATCATGTTTATTAAGATTAGATTTTGTTGGTCATGCATGCGTGTTATATGCGTAGCCGTAGCAATAAGCCGTGCCTAATTATATCATGTTATGTTTTTATTCGAATTCTCCGAACATTCTTGCATGCTTAGTTTTTATGTGCTATATCATGTTTAAATTAGCCTTAATGTTCGGATGATAGTTCATGTTGCGGTGTTCGGCCGAGGGTAACGTGGTTGCGCACGTAGAGCACCACGGGCCGTGCTTGCATGCTCATATATGTTAAGTTATTTTCGCCGAACTATCCTTGCATGCTTAGCTTTTACTTGCGAAATCATGCTTATATTAACTTAAGTGTTCGGATGAATTTAGTCATGTTAATGGGTTGGTCGAAGGGATGTGGTCTCACACTTAGTGCGCACCACGGACCACCCGAGTGTTATTGCATGTCAAGTTCAAGCCTTAAACCATCATGTATTTTTTTCATGTTCAGTATAGTCATGTTTAAGTTCAATATATGTGAATTGCCGAGAGATTAAGTG